AACTTATAATAAAAGAATAGTTGAATAGTAGATAAATAATTGTATAAAAATTCGTAGTGAATAAAAGAAATTAAATTAAGTAGATAAAACAATCTAGCAGTGTTATTCGTAAATTAAAGTATTCAAACTTACCAGTATATAAATGTGGAACTTTCGAATTCCTGGCGAATATTGTTCCGAAATTAGAAAAAATATAACTGATGAAGAGAACCAATTCACCACATGTCTGTGGTCGATTCGCCACATGTAGCGAGTGGCGAACGTATTGGACACCACTGATCTAGAAGGAGGGGTGTGCAGACTTTGAAAATGGTGGTTCTCCACTGCTGGCCCGGAGGAAAAATTTGGAATGCAACTAACTCGTGACGAGATTGGGGATGGGGATGGGGAGGTAGTACACAGTTCCCCCCCCCAAAAAAAAAGGGTGCCAGTTTATTTTTCGTCATATCTCTATTTAATATCGGGTGAACTCCGTGTTTTTCTGCGTATGACACCTCAAAAGAATAAGAAATACGTCAAGTCAAAAAAATTAACCCAGTTCTTCGAATGGATTGACTTTTGAAAGTATCGAGATTCCCAGTGAATGGGCGATCTGCGAGTTGCACTATACCTGGTGGTAAAGAGCAGCTGACAAATAACCAGTCAACCCAGAGTACCGTTCCCTGGCCGGTTCCCGAGCCGTGGTTGGTTCCGTCCGCAAATAAAGGAGCACGTCCGGTGCCGCACGAACCCTTTCCTCTTGGGGTTCGTGAAGGTAATTCTACACCCCCTGTGGGACGTTAACATCTCCAGACCCAGGGTCTGTATAAGGCTGCGGATCTGACAAGTAGACTTGCCAGTCGGGCCTGCATAAGTAACCCTCATCCTCCAATGGGTGAAAGCCGAACCCGGGCCAAATATCCCCAGAGTAACCGCTCCTGCCGAATTGAGTCTCCATAAGTTAGAGGTCGTTCGGATCTAGAGGGGATGGGAGAGGGGGGGGGGGATAGCTGGGATTCCATTGCGAAAGCGTATTCATGGGCCACGAACTTCTCGTATCTGATACCATCGTATTGTATCATACCGTACCGTGACGAAAGCTCATTCTGGGACTCCTCGGTCAATGTAAAGTGTTACATAAGTTGCGTTTTCAAGAAATCTTCGCCCAAAGTCCTTTTCCATGCTCTCGGAGCTATAGGGTGGCTTTTATAACTGTTATTCAAGAAAAATAATCATTACACTAAAACAGTATGACATAACAAGGAAATTTCACATAAATATGACTTACGGTTTAGGAACCTAGATGGGAGCGTGGAGTCAGCTCGTGTCTGTTCGTCTTCTGGCTCGTCGCAGAAAGTGCTAGCTAGGTCCACCTCCCACTTCCCTGCACAAATGCATCCTGTGAATCTTATCGTCGGTCTCCACGTCCACAGGAATTTTAGCTATCGTTTCTTCGTCGCGTTATATTTTACGAGGCTCAAAGGATGCATGTGGGCATGCACGAGCACGCGTTCGTTTACATACCTGCTAGCGCATTCTGATGCACGACACGCTAACCCCTACAGAGTGAAATGACCCTGCATCCGTCATTTTCTGCTCTCCCGGAAATGCCTGGAGCAGCTTGGCATCAGATCGAGAGGGCAACCATAGACAGCCATGGACAGCCTTTCATCCGTTTCCCACGACGGCATTGTGAAAAACAGCTACTGCCTTTTCTTCGGGATGGACGAGGCGAGACGGTGAATTCCTCGGTCATATAGGCCCACATTTCATGCATGGGACGTGCATTCGTACTTCTCGTGAATTTTCATTCGATAAACTCTGAGCATTGTGGAGAAGAAACACCGGATCCGTGACGCAGATCTCTCTATGTTAAATCCCGGAAAGGTGAAGCAATGGGTGCGTCCCGTACTCGCTTTTGCCACTTCGCGCTGAGGGCGAAACGATGGACATGGTGTGAGGGGGGAAGTCTTGCTTTCTTTCTTCTCTGATCTCCCCATTCCCCCCCCCCCTTCATCCGCCGCACAAGAAAGGGAATAGATAACAGTTTTCTTATATAAACGACAGTGACTGCCTCATGCTGATTGTATATGTCTTGTGCAAGCTGAAATTTGGCACAGATGTAGTTCTAAGATTGTAGATTTCAGGAAAAATCCAACAATTACAGTAAGATGGTGGTCCTCTTTTGGGAAGGAGGAGGGGGGAAGGTTTTCCTCCAAATTTTTTCGCTTGAAAATAAATTGGTTCTTACAATTGTGTTATGAAAGATACTGTACTGTACCTTGTATGAATAACAATTCCATGGGGATCTTTGCAGCTATTAATCTTCCTACCTCCCTCTGTCACACAATAAAACTTCATGTCGGTTTTAGTTTCTTCTCCTGACGCTGAGTCTCTGGTGGAGCTTTTTTGGCAGTTGAGGGTGCATCAGGTGACCCATAGCGGAATGTCACCCCATTGCTCCTCATGCTGGAAGTCGCGCGACGTAGGAATGAAAACTGAAATCCGTTGATATTGGTATAGAAATTTTTGAAGTTACTGTGAGGTTCTTTGAGGGAATATAGATATTTATTTAATGTTGCTAACCTCAGGTTGGCAGCGACGTCACATAATCGTAACATGACGTCACAATGAAAAATGCCTAAAATCCATTGAGTATTAGGTTTGAGTATTGAGCTTTAGGTATGAGCGCCGAAGGAGCACGTATCAGATAAATTAATCGATTTACTTGAATTGAGCACCGAAGGCGTGAGTATTTTCTATTTCTCGATATCTGTCCAAAATTAAATTTAAAATTCCAGATTTATGAAATAGATGACTGCCCGTTTGAGACGAATAGCTGGATGATCCTTACCAGCTAGAATTCGCTTTATCCAACACCACACTCGCCCAAGAGTACTCGCCAAGTGTATCAGGACCTTAAGAAGTTGAGTGGGGAAGGACCTTGTCGCACTGCAATTCTTAGTCCAAAGGCATTTATTCTATAAATCCTACTCTTTACTGTGAATCTCGTGTAACCCAAAGCCATGAGCATCGTCGTCATATTCGTGCTTCTTTTACGTTCTCACTTTCAGATTACTGCTATCTTGCTTTCAACGGATTACTCTCACTGATCGAACTGACAGATTTAAAATGGGTCCTGAGTCCCACCAGAAAGGGGTCTGCACAGCTCCAACAAAAATTCTTTCATTTCGTCTGTGCTGGGAGTGTTGTGAGAAATAGGTTCAATTTGGCAAAGGGCTTTCTTTTCCGTTTCCTCACCTTCAATCACCAAGCGTTACTTTCTTTTCGGATAAAAGTCGCCGGAAACACGTGCTTAGTGGCGCTCAATAACAATTTTATTGATTAAACCCCATCTGTACATCCAGTTTGCAACGCTGCAAACCACTTACCTCCTTTCAGAACCTCCCACTATTTGCTGGATTGGTATAATATTAGATTCAACATTTTAACTTATATTTGCTAGAGACTTCTCCCTTAAAATTTCAATTAAATAATAACAATAAGGAGCTTTCATGAAGAGGTACGTCTATAGTGCTTCGTCAAAAACCAATCTCCACAGCTTTTCATCAGTTTTTAATCATAATCTGCTGCTAAAGACAAAATTGCCCTTGTGACAACAGACTTGCATTTTGCAGCGTTCAGTCATACCCTATCCTTTCCTCCTTCTACTGGGATTTCCGAAAAATATATGTTTGCCCTCGATGAGGATCCCACTATTCTTTCAGATTCAAGATTCCTGTCGCTCTGCTTCTCTCTATTCACTGCCTTACTTCTTGGTATTATAGCTAGGTCCACGGAGGCTTTGGAATACAGAAATGCATCTTACCTTTTGCTTATATTCGGTCAGTTATGGTGCTTGTAGCTGACGAGTGTTAAGCCCGCCGCACACGAGGCAATTTATGTTGCTCCACCGTCGCTTCATATGATATTGCTCCGTTTGCGGGGGTGCTACGATGATCGCGCGACGATCACCAGCATATTGCTTTCTGCTCAATTTTTCGGCGATAAATATTGCCGTCGCTCCGTGTGCTCCTGCGATGTAGGCTCGCCCAAATTCTAGCATCGACGAATCACATTGCAACCTAAAATCTCAATATGATAGCTTCCATAAGTTTAGCTCCGCATTGCTTGTAGATTCTTCCTTGTGCGGGGGTCTCATCTGCGACGGTGGAGCAACAAAATTTGCCTCGTGTGCGGTGGGCTTTAGAGTTGCATTAGTTCTTTGTTGGCTTCTTTGGAGAGCTTTTAATGCTGATAGATTGCTAACTCAGATGAATTTTCCGTAGACATCGAGAGATACCGAGCCTTGATGTGATGCCTGTAGAAAAATTTTTCAGGAAAAGTCTCATCAATGCCAAATGCACTGCCAGACCGGGTATATTTCCACTTTTAAATTTAAAAAAAACTTTGGCAGATAAATCTGGACATGAAGAGTAAGCTTCACGGAAATGCCAAATAGGATACTTCTGTTAAATGAGGTCGAATGTCAATCTCGGATTTTAGCGTTTGTGTTATGTATTGCAATAACACAAACCGTTATGGTATACCGGTTGACCGAAGAAGGCGAAAAGTCTTTCAAAAAGAACTATGAATCACTTCTCTATATAATTAAAAGAGAGAAAAGATAGAAATGTGGGGCAAGGGTGTCATGAGGTCACCAAACCGGCAATGTTTTCATGACCTAGAGATCTAATAGACTGAGGGAAAAAGGGGATTTCAGTTCCTTAGCGGTACAAGCATTGACCCAAATTTAATCAAAATCAGCGTTATGTTTTATTATGTGTTCATTTAACGTGGAATTAGTTTTATGTTCGAAAGAGAACCTTCTTTCTGCATTGTCATAATAATGGCAAGTTCGTCGGCCAAATCTTCAGCTCTTCTTATGAAGATGGATGCAACATTCAGAGGGACGTGAACCTTACCTCTCCTATGGTACTAATTACGTCACACTCTTTGCACTGTCGAAATCGAAACGAAACCAATCTAGGGTGGCTTCCCATGTATTGTAATACGAGGGATTCAAAGGTGGGAAAGTACAAGACTATGCTTTATTATGAATGATATTCATGGGACAATCAAGCAGGACGGATTAGAAACTGGAATGGAGACAAATAGGGGGAATGGAATGTTTATTATTGCATGTCACACCTCACACCACGATAGGAATGACGTGTGAAAAGTAAAAAAAAAAAATTAAAGGACATAAAAATCAACAATAGCTCTGGTCATTATAAATAGGATAACGATGTGAGATGCGAAGCCAGGAGAAATGCCATGAATACTCCTCGCAAGCCCGTTCTGATATCTTGTTAGGCAGGGAGTCTAAAGATGAGGTTGGGATCCCCGCCAAGACATGTGACCCAGACTCATGTGACCATAGACGCTCCCGTATGCATCCACGCTGGCTCCTGCACCCGCACCAGGCGAATGCGTTCTCTCCTGTTCACCATTCATCCATCACTCAATAAAATTCTCACAAATGCAAATACCAACCTCCAATCAAATCACCCTTTCTTTTTCTCTCTCTTTTTAGCATGAGCCTTCTGGGACAATCTTCACAGAATACTGTTAAGTAGTTTCAAAGTACGAGTTCGTACGATGCAAAGGAGCAAGGCAATAAAAACCTTACACCATCTCCTTTTAACTTGACTAATTTTTAAGCTGCCTCCTTTGCCTGGAAAACACGAACAAGACCATTACATAATCTCAAAAAGTCCAAAACGAACTCATCGACGCGAAGTAGTTGCTGGGTGCAGTGACATGCGAGCAGCAAGAGTCAACCTGGAGAACGACACGTATGCCATAAATTTACTGGCACGTAGGAAGACTGCTATCTTCAATGGATAAAGCCATGCCTGCGCCACGAGTTTTGTGGTGCAGACATGGCTTTACCCATTGGTTAATTGGTTCATACTAATTGGTTATATTAGTTTCATGTTAATGGAGGATCATTCCATGCCAATCAACACATTTGAAGGGAAGAAATTAGTCGACCTGTCGCGTTTCTTTTCAGCAATGATCATAGCAATTTTGGATCCTGATGTATACCAAACAGGAAATTCACATTTTGTTTTGTCGAGTCAGGTTCTCGAGTAACAGGCCCTAGAAGATCGATTTCCAGGTGCTCGAGCACCATTTATAGCTCGAGTAATATTTCATCATGTTGTAATTGATTCTTACATAACATTGTAGTTGGGAATTGGATCAAAGTCCGTGAGTGTCGTCTCCATTCACCCCCGTACTTCACATCAAAGTAAAAACCTCATTGGATACACCCCCAATTATAAGACGTATAAGTCCCTTCTTCTGGAAAGGAAAGCCACTAAGAGTACTGCAGTGGGTCATAATTTCACTCCCACTCTTCGTGCGCACATCAGCTGTTCACGTTGAATAAATCCCCATCAGTTGTTTTTGCTCCTGCCTCGCGCAAAATGCATGGATAAAAAAAAGGCTCCTGCATTTTCTATCATGGTACCGAAAAAAAGCTCCTGGAAGGAATTTAAAACACTGAGTTCGTGCTGGGCGTAGCTCATGTTACCCGTCACAGTCCGAGACTAATTCCAGATCCTGGTCTTCCATGGCGCTACATTTCACTTTACGTAAGGACACCTTCACGTTAACGCTTAACATAGCGCAACCATATGATGACAGTGTACACACGCGGAATAAAACAGTAAAGGGTATTTTGTTTTCCATAAAAACTTGTTGGCCTTGCTAGATACATGTCCATCTTTGTATTTTGAGTTGCAACTGTTGGGAAGCACTTGGGCGGTGTCATATCCTATATCCTGGTGGTTGGATTGAGAAATAACTAATCATTGATAAAGAAAAAATAATTCGGGTTAAGGGACTGGAGGCTACACTCAATCCTGAGGAGAATTTTTCATTAATTCATCATAAATACACCAAGAAATGAAAAAAAGGAGTGAGAATTAGGGAGTCAGGAATTTAATGTTTTCAGATCAACTTTGAAATCGTGGCATACAAATGACGACGATCTTGCTTAATTTGGGCTCCCGTGCTCCGTTGCTGATGCCTCAAATTACGCCCTGACTGATGATTTGACGAGTATTCCTGATATCATTCCGGATGCTTTGGTTCGATTGTTGGAGATTCTAAGGCTTCAGAATGCATATCCGCTCCATAACATGCCCCCCAAGAAAATAATCCGGAGGAGGCACGTCCCAAGAGAGTGTGAGAGCCATTATTAGGGACTAAAACGGAAGATATCAAGGTCCTGGAAGACGCAGTACAATGTACAGTATGTGGTAACTCCAGCTGCATGAGGGGAAGATCAATCTTCTTTAAATCAAAGGCTTGCACTCAATTGTTTCTATTGGTTTTGCACGTCTGGAAAAATAAAATGTCTGCAGCTCATGGCAGCAATCACAGCGACATGTCCTCTTTCGTCCTAAAAAAAAGCACTTTCGGATTTCTACATTAGTATTTTCCCATACTAAAGTATTTGATGCAGTCTTTTTTTATTTTTATTTTTTGGTCCACCCAACAAGCTCTTGGAACGTGTCATACGAAAAGAGATAAGGACAGGGTGCTGCATCATCCCTAAGGACGAGGCAAGACCATAACAGGTTCTGACTTCCCTTTCTCTTCGGCTTGTTTATTGGAGTTCTTAGGGGACAGACCCTTTTCAAAGTAAAGTGTTCATGATAGATGCAATCGTAGGGGAACAAGAAGAAAGTTTCGGAATGAGACGGGCAGTTATCAATGAAAGGAGTATGGGCATTACGCCTACCCTGTTCGAGACTTTCCTGCAACTCTGATTTCAGGCAACTAGACATGAGGAGGCATTAATTACTTCTTAATCGGGGTAATGGGAAGGGTAAAGTCGAAGAAAGGGACAGGAAATTCTTTTCGTTTCCATGAGTGCCCCTTCGAGATTCCAGTGGAAAATAAATCATCGTTTGTATTCCCTCTCTCGTCCATCGGAGTCCGGTTTAACCGGGTGAGAATGACCCAAAGGACAATAAAATGTGTCCTCGTGAACGGAGGCTACGGACTAGAGAAACTCGGATGAAAGGAATAACCTAAATATTGCATCTAACAGGCTTCTGTCGGGGCCATCCCTATTTCTTCCGCTGTACTGGGAACGCCGGATTAATGGCATTCGGATAAGCGAGAGTTGTTGTTTGAAGTTGCTGTTGAAGTGATAGTTTCTTTGTGGTCTTGGGGCTGATTTGTCAAGTCATTAGATGGTTCCTTATCATGTGGTTTTAAAAAAATATAATAAAATGCTTTGGGTACTGACTGTTCCTAGGCACTACTTCTTGGGTGCTGACTGCAGGGCGAACATAGCTTAGCATGGGAAAGAGAGCATTTCACGCTAACCTGGAGATAATTTTGCAGTTCTTCTTGAGTGTCGAAGATCATGACCATAAATGGAGAACCAGGGACATGTTCCCCAGACCATTTCACTTCCACCCGATAGTCTCCCGGTTCGGTGGGGTTGTAACGACACAAAATGGTCCGGTCCTTCTGGCTCTCCCGCTGCATCTCCACCCTAAATGCACCTGAATCCAATCGTTTCCATCTGTGTAAAAGCTATAGGTGACATAATTGGCACGAGAGGGGATACATGGAAAAGGTGTGTACCTTTGGGTCCACGGATACGAACGGTGAGTTGTCCAGCTCCAGCACCCCGGGTGTCGCAGAGGAATCGGCTCTGGAATGTGGCTAAAACCCCAGGTTCGATCCCAGGTCCATATACACGCACTTTGGACGCATCGGGAGCCCCACTGATGCGAAGTGGGAATGGACTACCTGGCACATGTTCCCCTAGACAAATGCAAAGCACCCCACCTTTGTGTCACAAATATATGTACCAGATGCACTTTATAAAAAAAAATCGCCCTCTTTTTCCGTAGTTTAGCAAGACTCAAAGTGTTTGTACATATTTTTATCGGTGAATGGATTGGCAAATGAACTGAACTGACTTGAAGCCCATACTGGTAAACTCTGAGAAAGATATGGAAGCTTTGACAGAGGGCTAGGAGCATTAGAATTGACAGGCTTTTTGTGCTTGATCCCTGAACTCTGCATCCCATCAGTCGCACACGTGACTGATAGGATCAGTGGCACAATGAGGATTTTCATTTTCTAGCTGTGCAGATGGTTACAGGGTGGAGGGGTTTGACCACCAAAACACTTGGACCTTTGGATAGGACACATTTTAAGGGAAAAAAAACATGTCTCTATACATGCACCAAAGTTAGCAAAGTAGTTGGAATTAAGTGGGCTAACCTCCATATTTAATGGTGAGCATATGACGACCCTGCTCAGCTGGCTTGACATTGAGTGTGAAAGTCCCATCCCCATGGTCATAAAGTTCACAGAAGGCCACCTTGCTTGGCCCAGCACAATGAGCAGTGAGTTCGCCAGGTCCTGCACGCCTTGTATCGATGAAGCTTCGAATGTCCTTGCCAACAACGCCACCACGAAGTCCTTCTCCTGTCACTAGGACCTTACTCGCATCTGTACTTGAAGCCACTGTCACCTTCAGTGGACAACCTTTCACCTGACGGCCTGCCCAGGTGACATTGAGGAGATATGCTCCTGGGGAGGTGGGGACATAGACTGCCCTGAAAACATTGTTCCCCTGTGGCTCCAACTTCACCCTGATGTCTGACTTGATCCCAGACAGGGTCACCTCTGGCACCCCTGTCATGATTTCATTATCATCATCATTACATAGTCTATGTGGTCAGTAGTGAAGAAATGCTCTTGGAAGCCTTAGGACAATATCAGGAAATTGTGCCATTTACAATATACATGGTGACCAATATATCAGTTTAGCTTATAGATGTACGTAGATATTCCGGCATCTATGGGTTGTATGGCCATATATATCTTGGTACTTTGTAAACCAGTTCACTTCATCAAGGGAAAAAGGACTATGGGTCAAACTTCACCACCTGTAAAATCAATCACTTTGGTTGGAATGGCAACTAGGAATGAACATCACTTGAAAATAACAAAGGCTTCAAAACATTACACTTGTACATAATCCAACTTGAGTGATGTTCAATGTCACTCATAGGTGATGATACTGTACCCATAATCCCTCTCCCCATGGTGTTCTAGCAATACAATTCTTCCAACTGTTCTACCAATAGTCAAGGTCATACAGCTCATACACATCTCTCAGCAGTTAAGCCTATTCATTGGTCATACTGTTGAAGAACATGCAAGTATAGTGCATAAAAAGAAAGAAAGCTACCTACCTGAGGTGTTGGCAGAGGAACCATCAATCAGGAATTCAGCTTCTTCATTGCATCTAGCCATGGCAAGGCCATGTCCTTTTAAAGTGATCTTAGAGTGATCTCCAACACCTGGGGTGAGTGCCTCTACAATCCCCACCAGTGGACTCTTTGGCAGGGGATAGCCCATCCAATAGAGATATATCTGATTCTCTCCAGTCTCCATAGGGGTAAAAACAAGACGGTGACGAGATGGAGATGTCTGCTCCACTACACCCTCCACTGTTTCCTTTGGTGACTTTATCTCACATCTCAACTTTCCTAGAAAACCCAAAAATTGCAGTCACTTCTGCACAGATTTTCTCACGGTAAGAATCATGCAAAAGTTGAAAAAAATCATCCACAATTTTTTTAAATACAATAGTTACTACCAAAGTCACTAGTTTTTTTTTTTGCTTTTCAAAATCACAAGTATTTTCAGCAAAAAAAAACTTCAATTTATTTTCATCTATCTATATTTAGACTAAGTACACTTTTATAACAAAATCTTTCTCAATTTGCTTCAATATGATACAATGATAAAAGAAAGTCAAAACAAACCAGGTCCAGCATCAGACACATCAAAGGAAATTTTCTTTTCTTGGCCAAGGAAGAGTTCAAGGCGACCAGAGTCATCTACCAGGGATTCCCATCCCCCAATTACTCGCACCTTCCGTGGTTCCACAACCTTGGGATGAAATGGTGAGCCTGAAAAGCAAAAAATATCAATAAGCACTGGTCAATGAACATTCTGAAACATAAGCAGGATGGACTACATGAAGTGAAGAAGCATTTCAAACTTTCAGAATGGCAAATTTCTGATGCAAGACATTGGCAGGAGAAAACTTATACCAATGAGCTGTCTCAGAATTATACTCATGACTAGAGATGGTTTTGCAATCATGCAGTTAACATTTGTTGCTATATATGACTAGCAAAATTCTACAGATCAACTTCAATGCAGTAGTGATGCAAGAACAGGCAATATAAAACAGAAAAAAACCATAAAAGTTTACATGAAGATAAAGAATCCAATTTCAAACTGACCAGGAAGTTCCTTCCCATTCCACATGACAGTAACATCAAAGATTCCAACTTCTTGCGGGATGTAAGAGACAGCATAGAGGCCATCCTCATCCTCAGCAGTGATGCTAGACTTGGCAACGCTGTCGGGTCCATCCACTTGGACATGGGGTTCCCCAAGACCTTGGGCCTGGATATGGAAAGTTGCAGGGGTTCCAACTCGTCCCCTGGAGAGTCCTTCCCCATATGCTCGGGCACCACCTTCTTCCTCGCATATGACCACCACAGGTGACCCAGGAACCTCCTCATCTCCATACCAGATGGCCAGTTTGTATTTCCCTGGGCAAGGGGGACGGAATTCCACTAGCTCTGCTCTTGTCTCACCCACAGGTTTTACCTCCAATGGGAGGTTCCGTCCAACAGGACTGCTCACTGTTACACTCAGCTCTGCCTCACCAGCCTTTTTGTGGTCCACTGGGAGAGAAAGACATTCACTTTCACATATTTGCACTTCATGGTTTCAAGTCGATGTAGCTACCATCAACAGCATTATATCAATGAAACAACTCATCTACCTTGTCAGTAACTGTATTTCTCACCTGAATGATTGAAATATATTTTGAAGAACTTCATTTTATCAATAGCATGATTTACAATTACGATCAACATTAAGACATTATCTATATTTACATAAGGTTTACCTTTGAAGGCAACACGATCGTTGACATAGAAGGATGAAGACTTGGGCTCTTCAATCCTTACTTTGGATGCATCATACACTTGGCAGCGGAATGGTGACCCATGAATGGGTGTTCCTGAATGGTACACCTCCACTTTGTGTGCACCTATGGGCAGAGTTGTATGATTGCACTTACCGAAATGCTTAAATACCTTTTTTAATAGCAAGATGCTGAAATATACCTATATACATACTCAAGCAAGCTCTAGAGTATTAATGTAAAAAGTATTGAGACACTTTCTGGATTAATACTTTTCAAATTAATTTGCAATCCAATGTCTTCTTCCAAAAGAGGACTGTAAAAGTTGAGTGAAACAGAACAGAAAAGAGTCATAAGATATCACACCCATTAAGAGGAAGATTGTCTGCCATCCTTCTAGTACCTTTTGGCCTAAATTTACTTCACAAAGAGTGCAATATATGGAGAAGTACTTGCTGTGAAAATCGCCTAACTCCTTGAAAATGCATTCAAGCACTTCTGACCTTAATTTTACAAGTAAAAAAATATATACCTTCATTGAATGCACTAACACAAAATGTAAGCACTCTATAAAATGAAATTTTCAAGTACTTGGACAACACTGTCTGTGGGAAGACAAGATTGGATTCAGAAGAAGTACTTGTGTGATCTTATCTTTCCTACTGGATCTTGTCCTCAACAAATCTAACATCCTGTCAAGAAAAGTTATTAAAAACTTCATCCTCCACAAACCAGGTGAATAGGGAGAAAATTCAGCAAGGAGATTCCCATCTTTCTGCTGGTAGCACTTCACAGGGATGGCTGAAGAACCTGGACCAGAGACCACAACATCAAAATCTTCTGGTTTTCTTCCCAGGGTCTCAATTACAAAGGTGGCAGGCTTTCCCACTCGAGATTGATGCAACCCTAGGCCAGAGGCTGTAATCAGCTTCCCTGAATATGGATTCTTCACTACCAGCTCATAAGGAGACCCTAAACAAAGGGATATCCAAGTTCAAAGTTCAGGATGATGACTTCAAAAATAAAAAAAAAGCAGGGACACAAAAGGTAGGTGATACCAGCAATGGGAACTCCATTGTACTTCAGGGAGATTCGATGAGGAACATCAATGACAGGAGTGAAGAGGACATCATAGAGTCCCCAACCAAGGTCCTTCAGTGTATATTTCACTTCCTCACTTGCAGCTCGGATCCTGACCCAGACAGTACCTCGACCAGCCTTAGAGGCATCCACTGTAATGCAAAGAACAATCCAATGGAAAATTACAACTTGGTAAAAATGATCAGATTTCCCCAAATTTTTTTTATGCCTTATACTTTTCATGCACTATATCTGCAGAACAACATAATTTCTTACACACATGAATTTAGTCCAAAAAGGCAAGTACAGTTGATGGAAATCACTGAATAAATGTTCTGTGACTTCATCAGAGAAGATAATCAGGAAAGAGAATGAGGACAGATCTTAACCTATTGGATTGAGATTTTTTTTACTAAAAGAATTTAGAGTGAAGATTGTGTGCGCAAGCACAGCTCATTAAAAGAATTCTATGGGTTTAAGACAGAGTAACTGTATTAATCAATATGGCCACTTCACAATGCAAAATTACAATAGTCCTTGGTATACTATCACACTCACTCATCACAAACTCTTTCCAGAGATACAATAATACCAACATGCTTATAATAGGTGATTATTTCATTTGACACCCTTGCAACCTACCATCCATTCCCAACCTCTTTCTCAGTGTGACCCAATTCTGACAGCTGCAAATTCTTGCAACCCCAAAAACATGCACAGACAAGACTAACATCATTCACCTGTCAAAAATATGGCATTATAATGAATGTTAAGAAATTACCCTGCACATAGCACAATAATACCACCCTGCCAGATGGCTTCACGACCCAAAGGGTTAAGAACCACTACATTAACACCTTTTCAAATGTGCTTTTTCCACATTAATCCTCCTCAATATTGCACTATAAGCAGCATACATCCTTCACCCCTTACCCAATAAGTATAGTTTAGTATTTGTTGCCAACTGTCCACTCAATCATGTAACAGATAGTGAGGCCATGAGAAATGACTCCTACCATTGGAATGGATAGTTCATAGAAAAAATGTGTGGAGTATCAGAGGGCTAACTATAAACTAAATATAAGGCAATATAAGCTTCAAATCTATATTGTCAATTCATCCTCTGGAAATTTCATTTTTGCAGCCATAAGCAAATACTGCTGTTATTTGATATAGTGCCAAGATTGACAACAACCAATAGCGAATGAGTTAATGTGGTTGAATCTCAGGGCATAAAATAAAAATTTTTCAAAATCAATTCATAGGACTAGCACAATAAATTATGGAGAGGTGTTCCCTGGGACCAACCTTTGAAAGAAAAGTCTTTGCCAACAACAGCTTTTTTTTCTTCAAATCCAGTGACAAGGACCTTGGATGGTTCTGCAACTTCAACTAAGAATGGTTGCTTGGAGGCAGGCTTGCCCTTGTGCTCAACTTCCACCCGGTGGAGACCCACCACCTGGGGACGGTATTCAGCACGCAGAAGGCCAGATCGAAGGCGGAGGATGCGACATGGGACACGGGATTCATCAGGACTTGTGACGATCACGTCCAGGTCACTGGCATCCCAACTCTTGGGATCCAGGTCAAAAGTTGCAGGAGATCCCACCACAGCCTCCTTTAATCCATCTCCAGTCAGAGAGACAAGTTTGGACTCTGACCGCTTCAAGTGCTTCATCTCCCTTGCATCCAATTCACGGACATCACACTTGAATGGGCTTCCTGGGACATCTTCTTCATTGAATGTGATGTTCACAAAATGAGGGATGGCTTCAAGTGGGGTGAAGGTGACATCATATAGGCCTCGACTGCGAGCAGTCACCTCAGCACGTACTGATGCCTTGGCTGTCATCACCACCAACTCCAATGTCCCTTCTCCTGCTTGTGATGCATCCACTGTGAATGTGACTGGCCGCCCCACCTGCAATGTCACCATCTTGACTGACACTGTATTCTTTGGGTCAATAGCAGAATGAGTGCAAACTACCAATGGACAATCCTCATTCAGACAGTCATTCATTCAACCAGAATTACATGCTCAAGGGGAGTTAACTTTATAGGCACTTGTTTTAACTCATATTACAACAAGTACTTCAACTTTCTTGACAAAACTAAGATTGAATTTGAAAAATGAACAAGCAACAATGATGGGGGAAAGCTAAGAAAAAAGAAAATAGCATTACTGGGAGAAAGCTAAGAAAAGTGAAAAGAGCATGACAAACCTTGGTGTTTTCAAGTCCTGAGACACGAATGTTCTCAACAGCATAGACATTACAAGTGAATGGGCTGCCACCAATGTGTTCATCATCCAGTATTAGCGAGATTGTGTGGGGACCTAGAAACCAGTGTCAAGAATCAACAGCAATGCTACTGTTCCAAATGACAAAGAAACAAGATCTAGACTATTAAATCAACATACCAACTTCTGTTGGGAGGAACTGAGCCTCTATAACACCATCTGGATTGTGCTTCAGGTCAACAGGTATGTTGGTTCCAAGTGGACTTAGAACTTTGATGCTACATCCAGTGATGTCACAATTGCGAGGATCAATGCTGAACGTTGCCAAACGGTTTACTGCGGCCATCTTCAGAGCATCACCAGACACCATCACAAGACTGGAATCCGTGACTCGGCAGCCAAAAGGGCTTCCTGTCATAGGCAACATAGACAGTGACATGGCAAATCTATCAAATGTACAGCTGAAAGAGAGAGAAAGAGAGAGAGAGGGGGGGCAGGGGGGGGGCAGGGTGAGGGAGAAGGAATAAAGATGGAACACTGACTCCTAATAGGAATCTTTCCAAAGCAGATCACAAGTGCATGGGATGTATTCCACCCCATATCAACGGCAGCTCTATGATATACCTCCAATTCCCAAGCCTTATCTTATTCCTGCTCTTATCAGAGTACAGCTCTAGTCCACCCATTTTTTATTAACTTATCATCCTGTAAAAATTCAGCTATCTATTAAGGAATGTCTCACTTATATGATGGCATATATGAACAAGATGTACCTCATGTAAGAAATGCAGCAACTAACTTCCTTTCTACTCTGTAAAAAAAATTATAAATCCTTGCATTCTGCTAAGATGCTAGTGCTGCAGAATTCAGTATGTCCTATGATCTTGTTTTATTTATTATATACTATATGATACACAGATTTATTATTTATATTTGTAATTCTCTAAATTTATAGAGAGAATTACAAAAGATAAATTTTAAAAATTTCAGTGAAGCTTGAAGATTTCTCAAAATATTCATGTTCTGACAATTTGAAACATGCACACCACCTTAAAAGTTGATAAATCCTTTCAAGTGGAAGTGAGGATTAAGTGCACAATTTCTCTTTATGTCTTTTCAAAGATGTATTGTACCAACATAGTAGCACTGACTGCAATATAATAGCCCTGACAATGCTATATGAAAAGATCCCTACCTGGAACAGGTTCCCCATTGAATCGGACACTGATGATGTGAGTGGCAGGCTCCTGAGGCTTAAAGTTGACCTTGAACTTGGCATTTCCCTCCGACTGGACATAGTTGGGCACATTTCTTCCACTCACTGACACAATGATTTCCAAGTTCCCTGCCCCTGCTTGACTTGCATCTATGGAAAAGTAAACTGGCTTCCCAACGACCCCTGTCGTGATGTCTGTCACTCGGATGTTCCTGGAGTCATATGCTTTCACCAGGAATGGACTACCTGGGATTGGTAGCTCTGCATACCTTACTTCAACTGTGTGATCCCCTAAATGACACAAATACTAAGTTTATTCACTCAATAATTGCCTCATATGACCTAAGTTAAGTTGGTATCAAACAATTTCCTTCCATAACTTCTGACAAGAAGTAATTTTTAAAATGTACATTCAGGGCAAGCTCATCCACCAAAACAAATCTCACACCCTTCTAGCACTTGTAATCATCAAGGGACACTTGAAAAAGGGACACTTGGCTGAATCACATTCAAAAGACTTCTTTTCCTTTTTGAGATGTATATAAAGCTATCAAAACTAAAAATTGCTGCTTGCTATAAGAAAACTACATGCTTTTGCATAATTCAATTTAAAAAATTCATCTTCCAATAAATGAAATTTGATTGAAAACTAACCGACATCAGTTGGGAGATACTCGATGGTGTAGCGACCCTCCCCAATAGAGGTGAGGGAGTGCTGAATGGGCTGACGGGCAGGATTCAAGATCCTGACAGCCAGTTCTGCATTGTCCTGCTCCTCTGAGTGGATGTAGAAGACAGCTGGGTGATCAACAGGGACTTTCTCCAGACCATCACCAGAGGCTGTGACACGACTTGCATCAGCTACATGGCAGGTGAATGGGCTCCCAGGAACATCTTCTCCATTGAACTTGAGCTGCACAACATGAGGTCGTGGTTCCTTGGGAGTGAAGCTGATAGCATATGTATGATGACCCTGGCTCTGGGCTGACGTTGGCACCTGCCCTGCATTTACTGTCACTTCCAAGTTGCCAGGTCCTGCTTGACTCGTCTCCACTGCAACATCATCAACTCAGCAGTCACAAGGGACATTCTTTCAAAATAAAGGATATACCATTTCTGAAGATGTTTCAAAGATGAAACTCAGGAAATGATGGTTAGCAGAAAATGACCAATATGCCAAATGTAATCTACTTCCATTATTTTAAGCCCATAGCAGTCACAAACAAGTTAACTCAATAATGAACATTCTCAAAGTAGTTGTTTTCAAGTGTTCAAATACATATCATGGATTTGCCCAGGACATCAGGATCAACACCAGGAACTGACCCTTATAAGAGAAAATTAACTCATCTTTATTACCAAGGTTCCAATACCTTAATGCAGTATCTAAGAAAAGAAATTCAGCTCAGGTGTAGAGAGGGAAGAAAGAAGCTAGAAGGTTAAAGAGCATGACCATGGCAGTGGTACTAAAACTATTGCACAATTTCTACCAAGTGTCCCAATAGACACCACCTTAACTTAATAGAGTTCAAACACCTATCAAAGGATGCATCCTTATGACTGATGATGGCAAAATGGTGTACATTCCTGGGACTGGGAAGATGCTCCTGGAAATTCTGAAACCTGACCAGTGATAACTAAGTAGCCAAGTGCCCTAGTACCATGGTGCCCAATGCATTTGCCACTTGCCAATGTGGCAAATCAGCCACAGACATGTGGTGAATAGATGCTCTTCATTAGCTACATTTTTTCTTCAGGCACATTCTTTTATTACACATTGCATATATTTTGTATCATGTGGCAAATACAGTGACCTGATCACCACAAGTGTGGCAAGCATTGAAATCCTTGGACACAAATGCCCTAGTACACCATTTTGGTCTTACTTTCCCTTTAATATCATTGGTTACTGCATCTCCTACCTTAAACCCTTAACTGGGTTAGATGCCTTTTGATGTCTGACCTCCTATAGGTTAAAACGCATTTGGTGAAAAAATTTCCCAGTTAGCCCCTTAACTGGACATCTCCATGGAGTGTCCTCAACTTTGCTTCCCTAGCAAGGTGTTTCACCCTCCCACTGTAGCTAAGATTGCAGAGTAGCCCAGCTAGCTCTACAAGTAGGTGAAGATATCTATCACATATCCATGGAGCTTCTCAAAGCTTTGCTTCTCTCATTAACCTACCCAGTCTACCTTCCCCTTCCTAACATCATACTTTCCAATTTAGATTTTACTTATCCTCTCCATTTCTCAGAATTAATGCATGCATATATTGCAATTTCTACCAGGATTTATCTTTGTCATGCAAGGCAAACCTTATGACTCATGGCTACAGGGTGTATACCAACTCAAACATACTAGGCATTTGTATAACATTTAATGTAGGCTTACTATGCTCATTAATCATGTTCAAATAAGCTGCACATAAGAACCATTCATGATTGTTATAATTAGTCATAAGAGAATAATTTCAACAGGCAGTCCATAGAAGAGATCTTAGCAAATTCCTTCAAAGTTCCAGAATAAGAGCTTGAGATGCTCACCAATGAAGGTGACTGGTCGCCCAACAACACCTCGAGGGTTCTCCCGCACCTTGATCTGAGACACATCGTAGACTTTTGAAGAGAAAGGGGAACCAGGGATGGCTTCTCCCCCATAGAGTACATGGATGCGATGCTCGCCTGCAACTCGAGGCGTGAATTCCGCTTGCACCACACGGTCCCCCAAGTCAGTCAGTTGAGCCGGGACACTGGATCCCGAAGGCCCTTTCACATGTCACATCGTCCGGGTCATGTGTCGTCTCTTTAATGTGGTTACAACATCTTGCTTTCTATGCCTAGTGCGTAGCCTAGTGAGGAAGTAGATTAGCAACAAAAGCATTCATGCAGACACAAGCCACAAAATTGTCTTGTTAGCAGGAAAGGATAGTAAGCATATGTACAGAGCAGAGGTTTTGGAAAACAGTCAAGGTCACCGTCTCAGCTTATATGGGGTCTCCCCTGTAGTCAAATGGAGGGAAAGATCACAACTGTCAGTGCAGAAGTGACTAAGGACAAATTCAAGGTTCTCAAAAATGTATCACAATTAACCCTATTAGTGACAAATGCCAAATTTCATAACCCATGAGATATATTTCTGATATTTTCCTCCATGCTATGTTATTTTTGTTATTATCATCTATTACACGTACAACTACCAATTCCAATCGTGCCAATTACTATGACTTATTACAAAACTATGCAACCAATGAGTAAGACTAATGTACAACTCCAACAGAGAACCAGTCTACCTGTATTTAATGCACTCTAGTAATGCAGGATGCCAAGGAGGAGAGAAGTCAAAAGAAAAGTCAAACAAGAAGAGGACTGGATACCACACAAAATTTGGTCACTTTTCTTCAAGTTACAGTGTATTTTGTGTTCCTATAGGTTGCCATCAGCTTCACAAAAGAATACAGAGACGCAAGAGTGAACAAGACATGCATGATGAAGGTAGAAGACCACAAGGTCAGAAATGGCCATTGATGCACAGAAAATCAATAAGACTAAGCATTACACTGGAATTAGGGGTCTCAACTTCTTCATTAACAGGGAATAGGAAAACTACCTGGTTAAGGATGAAAAATCACCTAAAGAAAAACTAAGAAGGGACAAAACTTGTTCCTTCTGATATCCCAGTCATCCTTTTCTACTAGAAATAATGTGTCTAATGATAAGTGAAGTATCTCATTTTTCATAGTCCCTGAGAGAGCCCAGATGAGATTCCCAAGTGCAGGGCAAGAAGTAACTAGATCTTGTATCAAAACATTACATAAAAATACAGAGAGTAAGGGCAATATTTATTGAATGGTGCAAAAAAAGTACCACTCTTTAAACATTTGTGGCACCTCTTAAAAAACAGCAGCTTACAAAGTCTTTTATATACACCTCAGTGAATCCTTTGAGCATCCAACCTCTTTTTTTTTCCTGTTTATCTCTAGCCGTTGTAGCACACAAGTGATTTTACAAAAGCAACCGGAAATTTATTTTTGCATTCCCACCTGGATGCTGATGAGAGGACCTGCCCCACTCACTAAGAATGAAAATTCTTTTCAAGGGCTTTTTCCTCTGCACTTAAAAATCCACTAAGCAGATCTCAGACTCACTCTTATGTCTGGCAATTTGCAGAAGGGAATTTCACATACCAGGATTATCATCTTCAGAAACAATGACCTCTTCCACATTAAGTTTCTGTTTTCCAGCAACTTTTAGCCTTCCACTATTTTTCTTCTTTCATGAACAGTTTCTCGCAATCTGTAAATTAACCTCTTAACAAAAGCCTTATATTTCCTTCATCCTTAACCATGAAATTCTTGCACAATTTCACCCCACCCTATTCTTTTGCAAACTGAAGCATTTTTATGAGCTGACAGATGAGCTCTGGTCCAAGATAGGTGCACTACAGGCATGCCAACTACTCATCCACCAACATGTTTCCTCATGCAAAAATAAAATTTGAGTTGTCTTTGCATTTTCACTCCTGTGCTAAAACAGAAGTAGAAAAATTTATGAGAATTATAGGATGTTTAAAAGATGTTGGAAAAAAATGTTCACCCTGTTATCTGCTATCTCATGAGCTTCAAAGAATCTCAAAGGAGCAGCATGGTTTTTTTTTTCCTCACCCAGAATATAAGAAGTTCCATTTCCCCCCTTATTCTGATCCTTCCTCTGCTACTGTATGAGATGGAAGTGAATACCTTTTGGGAATGTATTCCCACAGATTAGAAAAGCAAATAAATAATTTAAAACAAAAAACAGCAGAATATGGAATATATCAGGTTGTAAAGGTGAAATTTAGACATTTTCCAGAAAACAATTTATTGACAATTAACTCAACAACGACTAGAGTGCAGTCTTGCATCAATGTATCTGTTGTAGGTTCCCGATAAGCACTCACGCCCACAATGCCTACTCTACTTATACACCTACATAGAAAGTTCTAACATTTTCCAGATTTTTCTAGAAAAAATCGAAATGTCTAAATTTCACCTTTACAACCTGATATATAATTTTAAAAAGGGTGTGGGAGACAATTTCTCATTTCTCCTTTCTACAAGGGATAAGTATGCAAAAACAAAATTGGACAGGAGGAGAGAAAGTGAGAAAAAAAGAACATGTTCTTTTTTTCAGTGAGCAAAAAAAAGTGCCCTTCCATGCCAGGGAGACTTTTTTTTTTTGTCAGACACAAGGGTGTGGGATGTTTCATTGCAGTTAATTAAAACTGAGTTTTCAATCACCAGTTAGAAAAGATTTGCCTGTTAACCAATAATGTAGCTAACAGTTGGGACCCCTAATTGGAATAATATAAAGAAAAACAAGACTGATGAATGGGAGAATTCTACACCAAGTCATTTACTTACCTTCAACATTCACTTCAACATCTTCTACTGTGCCAGTTACATTGGAGATGGTGAAGTAGGCTGGTTTTCCAACTGGAGAGGATGCCAAGCTCTGCCCGCTCACAAGAAGGCGGTTGGGGTCCGAGGACACGTGAGCAATAAAAGGTGATCCTTCAAAAGTTAGTGCATATTTGCAATTAATAAAAGATCACCACCATCACATGGTTTTATCAGAAAGGTGAAAATGGAGCAGACCAGGAACAGGTTCCTTGTTGAAAGAGATATTGATGGTGTGATCTGTAGCCTCAAGGGGAACAAAGGAGACAACAAAACGGGCATTCCCCTGTGGATGAACCTGAGTGGGAATATTTCGTCCTTTTGCACTGATGGTGATCTCTAGATTTCCCTCTCCAGCCTGCCCAGCATCCACTAAAAACCAGGATTTTTTGGATGACACCCTCTACCTCAATGGCAACAAAAGATGGCCAGAGTTCAACCTGGGCCAAGGATCTGCTTGCCACACCTGTGAATTGCAAAGCCTTTCCTATGGCTCCTCGAGGCATTGGAGAGACATATACTCGCTTTGAATCGTAGACCTTGGATGTAAAGGGTGTCCCACCAACTGCAGATCCATTGTACTCCACTAAAACAGTGTGAGCTCCAACTTCCTTTGGCACAAATTCTGCTTTGAAGCCTGTTCGTGTGTTTCCTGTCACCTTTACCGGCAATGTGCTCATGCTTGGAGCTAACAGGAAAAACTCAATCCTCACTAGAAGTAATGGTATTAGCTCTACAAACATAATATAGGGAACTGAGAAATAGCAACCTACCTCGGACAGACACTGCCAACTCAGCTGATGTAGTGCCATCAACATGGATGGTGAAATGAGCAGTTTCATTCACAGGGATCAATTCCAGGTGACGAAGATTCACAGACACTCTACTAGTGTCCGTTACCTGGCACACCAGTGGACAACCTGGGACAAGGATACAGATGATTGAGAAGCTGTATATCTCCAGTCCTACAGCAAGATAAATTTTTGGCAGATACCAGGCACTGTGTCTCCATTGAACTTGATGTCAATGCTGTGCTGCATGGGTCGTTCAGGAGTGAAGGAGACAAGACATCGGCCTCCACCTAGCACCTGGACATGATTGGGGACCTCTCCTTCACAGATAGAGATCTCCAACTGCCCTTCACCTGCCTGGCTTGCATCCACTAAGTAACATCCAACAAGATTAAGCTTAAAAAATTAAAGTAAGAAAAAATAAACTAGTTATTCTGATGCATGATATGGACACAGATAAAGAACCCAAATGATAATGTTCACTCACTCACTCTGGCAGATAAATGCAAGCAATGAAAGCACAGAAATCAACAGTATAAACTGTACATATATCATACAAGGTTTCATGATGCAAGTCTTATAGCATACCTTTAAATTGACATGGTTGGCCAACAACCCCATTGGGTACATCTGAGACTCGAATGAGGGAGGCATCATATGCCTTTGCAACCCATGGAGTTCCTGGAATTTTCTGATTACCAACAGAAACTTCCACAAAATAATTCCCAACTTCTTGTGTTGTGAACTCAAGCCTGAGGTCACCAACTCCCAGTTCAAGGAGACGAAAGGATACTGGACGTTTGCTGGGACCTATAAAATCCAGACATTCCCAGATTGCATTCCATCAATCATGTGACACATAATGTACATTGGGCTTCAAGCTAATAAAAGATATCTTTGAATGCGAACTCTGCACAGCCATGGGATGTGATATGCACCTGATTCAAACTGAGTGCATTAATTTTCACAAGGGTGACTACAGGAATAAGATATACCACCAACTCTGCAAAATAGATTCTTATAGGAGTCCATTATAATATTGAATACCAACTGGATCTGGTGTCACTCAATATGATAGATAAAGATTAAATAAAAAGCTTGTCATAATGGCATCTCTTCAGACCATGGTGATATCAATTGCTTGGGTTATAACCCAACAGGTTGAATAGGCTATGTTACATGATGTACTGTTCAGCATGGAATGTATTCCACATTTGTCTGTACAGACTTACACCTAGCATGGAATACACACACACATAAAAGAATAAAATGTGACATATGAGTGGGTTCTGCATTTTAAATGCCTTTTTACATGGATTAATATCACAAATATCACTGCAAAGAAACAGAGCAGATTGGCCCAACCCTTATACATTAAAATGCAAAAAGAATGAATCCCTTGGGAGAGGAATAGGATTCAAGCACAATAACTGTATATAATGATTGAGGTACATACCAAGTACAGAGACTTCAAGGTCATTCCTGGAAATTCCAGGACTGCTCAATTCAAAAGTAGCAACCCGATTGACACCAATGTGACGTATAGGGTCACCCAAAAGTGTTACGGATGATGCAGCCAATGGATCCATCACTTCTACATGCCAAGGGCTCCCTGAAATGAAATTATCTCAGCTTTAGTTGCAAAGCCTAAGCTTCAAACAAGATAAGATGTACATTAAAAATCACAGAATGATACATTGGCCCTGTACAAGCAAACACTGTCGATAAAAGTCTTGCTTACACCAAGTCAACAACGAAACGGATGATGCATAGAAAGCAGTGGCCACTACTGGCACTCAGCGAAGCCTTGGTCTACTACAATACCAATACTTGACTGAGAGTTTAACTGGAGCGTTGGCCCACTGAAACGCAATCAACCAAATGCACAATGGTGTGCCTGGACAACTAAAACTTACGTGCCCCCTGCACGTGGCAAAAACCACGTGGTGTGCTGGACAGCACCATATTCCTTGCGTCACTTTCGCTCCTCTCCGAACCCTCTCGTAGACTACAGGCGCAACCTATTCGACTGGAGAAAATTTTTCGAACCTATGAACTGGGTGCACAGACCTTGGCAGCTCTACTGACATCCACGGGCCTGGGGAGGCAGAGTCCTGCAGATTCAAGATGGTGTCGCTTTCTACAATGTTACAACATACGCCTCCCTCGTCATACGGCTAGTTGCATCGAGGTTACCAAGTCAATCCGCTCGGAGCTCGTTAGTGCACACGAACGCAGAATCGGGACACTCCTCGGGAGAGGCATGAATTGCGTCCAGATGAAAAAAAAAACTAACGCGCAAAAGGATTAGATACCCGTTATGAAAGGTCATGTAAGTGACAATGTCATGGACCACAGTCCCGTACCAGACTGGGCTGGACTGATACTCATCCCGAATGTTTCAGCAGACATGAGGCTGCTGAAATGTTCTAGGATAGTTCCCAGATGGATGAGAAGCATAAGGTCTAAACCAGCATTGGAATACTTCCTAGGGTGCATCAGTTATTTCCTGCATTTCGTTCACCCTATCACATGGATTAACGCACAATATACAAAGTCTTACTGCCGCAAAGGGGGATGTAAAACTCGCGGTACACTCGACTTCTGATGCTATGACTACAAATAAATCATAGCGGAGAGCAATTCAATCAAAATCTCCCACAAATTGGGAGCATACGAACATGCGCTGTTGTGACTTACGTGGTCTTATACCCCAGGTCTTCAATCCTCTCGTTAGATAGGCATTTTGGGATTTTCCTGGCTTGTATTCGAAGTTATTTTAACCAATTGATGCACTTACGCTTCCTCTTCCGGTTAACGTTAAGTACTAATCGAAAGTAATAAAATTTTCAGAGAAAGTTTAAAGGGAAAAATGCAGAGGAAAATAAAAAAAAACGCTGATGACCAGAGTTGATTAGCTATTTACGTCACAAAAAAAATTTAAAGAAGCTTCTCCAGCAAATAACTTTTACTTGCATTGTAGAAATCGGACCATTCTTTGGCACCCTATCATATTGTGAAACATGAATCATAAAGACAAAGTGGGTTGTCAAACATCTGGTAGATTCTGACAGTTTTTATTTTTTATTTCTTGAATGGGGTACTCCTGGTAGTCAATTAAAAAAAAATACTAACATCAAGGTGCAGTCTTTCACGCTCTATCTTATACATTTAAGCAATCATAGGTCCCCGACTTCCCAAGCGATGTCTACATCCAAATTTTATCGTTACGAGCTACAACTACCACGTCAAGTCTGAAGAACCAAAATGGTACCTGAATGACATCATTCATTGTCCAAGTTAAATTCAAGATTGAAAATAATCTTACTTGTGACAATGCGCATAGAAAAGGACGAAGAGAGCCGCCTGTGCCCGACGTCACTCGATTGTAATTTCGAGCGAGGGTGACACGATTAGTCAATATTTAAAAAGTGACAGGTCTATAAAGAGAGGAAGAGTAGCTTGCGTTTGAAGATGGGCAAATGAATTAATATGTAAACGTTCTTGTATGGAAGAATAAAATGACCAAGAAATAAAGATTCCAACTTAAACATGGAATGGAACGTAGGAACACGGGAACGACACTGCTGGAATGCATACTGACTCTAAGTCAGCAGGCTGAAGAGCAGAACCTGGAACCTGTTTGGGGGCGCAGCGAACCGCGAATCCCGCCTGCCTCGGTCTCGGATGCTGAACTCATCTCAATCTCATCTTTGGTGTGCTCCCAACCATCCCTTTATCGACATGAATCGAATTATTGCATGCAGAAGCATTGCTTATGAGCATGATGCAGCTCCCTTCCCGTGGGGAGTAGAGGAAAAAAAATCATGAACGCGATGAACGTGCCGAGCAAGTGGGCAGACCTAAATGAATCGTCGATTTGCATTCGTCCGCGCATGTGATAATAGGCCATCCCTTCACAGAACAAATGACCTGCGAAAGGTCACCTTGATAAAGGGCAGACTCAAATCCTCCTCTCCGACTTTCTCCCACGGTTAAGCCTCTAATCCCTCGTTTCCTGCAATCTGTTCTGCTTGCCTACGCACCGGTGTATTCCGGTGCATACTATCGGACCACAGATTTCACAAACGTACATAGAACGTAGTGGATTAGCACAGAAAACTTTACACTCTTAATGAAAAACTGTATTTATGATGCAAGGATGCACGAATCCAGGACAAGAACCTAATCATAGGCCTACGCTAGGCCTCATGCAAATGGAAGTCGCCAAATAACGGCGTAAACGAACACTTTCCAGACCTGAAGGATGTAATTATTCGAATGGAACAGTGCAGGATAGCAGACGATCCGACATACGAGGTTCGACGACACAAGCTGAGATTGGAAGGTGAAGGAACGGGAGGGGACACCGAGTGTGGAGATGGAGTGAAGGCTGACCTGGCACTGTATCCCCCTCGGGCTAGGCAAGCGGATTCCACCAACGCTGCTCTAGGGCTACACTCCATCCCGTTCCTACTCCTCGCTCCTCTATACTCCATCCCCTCCTGCACATTCTCTTACCCCCTCATTTGAATTTATGTGCCTATGCGCCATGCTAATGTGCATTCCCGATTAAAACGAAAAATTTTCCTGGTACATGCATATACGGGGAAGCGTGATGAGGTGTGGAAGTGGGATGAGTCCTCCCTCGAGGCTTGACACAGGAAATTGGTGGGAAAGAACGAGAGACTGTCCCACATTTCTGGCTCAGACGGTCCAACCACTGACACATGTCCTCTTTCCATTTTTACACTGTTATGCGATTCAATGCAAGACAATATAGAAAGATGCTGCATTATTCATAAGTCATTCCCGTCAAATTCTCGGGATTCGACATATGTCATGCGGTAATGGATAAGCAATTAGATATTGTCAACTATGTGACCTAGATTTGGATGGAAAGCCATTTGAGCGTAATAACTTGCAGTTATGAAAATATTTAAATATGCCGAATGATAAGTTCTTAGATTTCTTTCTAAGTTTTCCTAACTTGTGCTGCCAGCCTCCAAAGCTCCCGGCCAAGCAGCGGTGCAACGTCGGAGGGGACGAGGGGGAAAGGGGGGGCACCCCCTCCCCCCCCACTTCTCAAGAAAAAAAAAAAAAAAGAGAAGGAAAAGATCCATGAAATGTTTAATAGTACCCCAGAAGTTCTCGTGCCCCCCAATTTTTGCATCCACGTTACGCCATTATCAGTCTGTTTTTTTTTTCCACTTGCACTTTCTTCTCTTGATGATTCTCTACTAAGGATTCCAGAGCATTACGATCCCGAAAATTTTGGTCCCAAATGAGAAAATGACAAAATGGTAGCTGTAAGATGGCACCCCCAAAATGAATCAGGATTATTATAGTTAACTAGGTAATCCGCTCAAGATAATTTTATAAATAAATAAATAAATAACAATTTCTTTATCTTGGAGGATTTAACCTGGAGGATGTAAGTTGGTGGATCGGGGGGCAACCAGACTAGATTGACGGGCGGAAGCGGATGGGGAGGAGAGGGAGGGAAACAAACCTATACACTATGTAGTTCAAGGTGGAAAAAAATAATTAAAAAAACAGGTTCACGGGGTCGAATTTCATTGTTGGAGTTATGAAACTGCGTTGTGCATGTCTTTACTGACACTTAAAAAAGCCTACTTGGGGCAATTCAAAGGTCTGAACTTTCCCTTCTATCACTATTTCCTCTCGGAGCTGACCCAGTTCCATGATTGAGATAGTTCGCTGTAGTTGGGATAATTTTTGAAGTTTTCAGAGTATATCTCTTTTCCTATAATTTGCATGCGTTTTTAAATTCAAGGTCACTTTAGTACACTTTTGAAAGACCTTTGGCGAAGAAGAGTGAAAAGGCCTTTTAAAAAAATTATCGAAAAGCTAAAAAAACGTTCATGTGGAAAAGTTTTGTCTTGCGACACTATGTTTGAGTAGGGAAGTCTGATGACCAGCACTATGGGAGACCCTCAACAGCTGTAAAGCCTCAAATAGGCCAAACGGATGAATTCCTCATCTTGGATGCACAGCACAGTTCCGACAGTTCAGCAACGTGTAAGATTTGATGGACTTAGGAGAACTGAGATATTGACAACTTTTGAAATGTCCTTCGGTATCAATCAACGATCAACCAAGATGTAGTCACCAACACAACATATTGCACTATTGGAGGCGTGGAAGCAGTTCAGGGTTTCCCAAACTGCTGGTCTCCAATGAAGGGTCCCTCCCATCCCAAAAACGACTTGTCCAATCAAAAAATGTGCCGCCAGATAAGATTTATTCCCCATTAATGTTTATCTCCAGCCTTTCTATAATTTTTTTAATTAAAATGTTTCGTCCTTCACCAAAAACTCAATCACTGCACAAGAAAAAAAATCCTCGCATTTAAAAAGGCATAATAATTACAAGAGAAATACACCAAAAGACTAGCATAAATAACCCCCACAGCCAGAGCAAACCATCACAACCATAAAATTGGATCAGTTTCAGGGGAACTAACGACAGAATACATTCCGGGAACTTATCAATTACACCTTGTACTCTTTGATGTAACATGGAGTCGCACATGGAAGGTAAGAAACCCACACGGCGAAGAATGAAGCAATCCCGTAAAAAACCTTTTTTACCAAAACCTATCTTCCTAACGTGTAATGGATCTCCACGGAAACTTTGAGATCTGGCAAGTTAGAAATGTATGTCCCCATGAATCACATGAATCAGTCCTCTTCCCCCTTCCTCCAGATCGTCAATGCTTGGAACCTCTAAGCTAAATAGTTTTACTGCGTTATCTTGAATAAATAACGCAGTTATTACGGTCGTCATTGATTTTTAGAGGATTTTTTACATATCAATTTCCACCAAGGACTATTTTGTCCTGTTTCTCATTTGGGACAAAAATTTGAGACTTTTTTTTTCCTGACATCCCATTAAGAATACAGAGTGGCCCAAAGAAAACGTTCCAAACTTTACATGTCTTTATACAAGACACCTTATTAACACGTTGGCGACAATGCGTCCTGATGCCAGGATGCAGANTTAACACGTTGGCGACAATGCGTCCTGATGCCAGGATGCAGATTTTTTTTCAATGAATACCCTCTGGAACTGTTGAGAACGTTCCAGAAGATTATGATTTCGTAATTACTGATAAAAATTCCAAAAAATTCAACATTAAAAAAAAAACTCGCAAAAAAAATGTTTTCTGGGACCATGCGTCATGATGGCAGGACGCATTTTTTGAGAAAAAAAATGCGCGTGGTCCCACGCGGCGGACAAGCAAAAATAGGCTGGTCGTCAACGTGTTAAATATCGGCATGAAATTTACAGGGTGTCATATCCAATAAATGCATATAGTTTTCTGAAATATAAGTAATAATTGGTCTTTCAGACCCTGAAAAGCCGCTTTTTTTCTTCACTATACAAGTGACAGTCTTTACGCTTTACCTTCTCACATGCACTGTGGTAGAGCAAGTCCCGATTGTGCGCAGGACAAGAATTTAGGGTTCCCATACCGGCACACTCGCTAATTTCACATCACGCTGGATGTGGAACACCGAAAGCTGTTACTCAAGTTCCGAGTATCCAAATGTATTTAAAATTTTTCGAAACTACTTAGATATATGGGATATGGCACCCAGTAAATTTTCAGCCGATGTCTCGTATTTTGTTATGTATTTAGGCATGTAAAGTTGAGAACTTCTTGGGGTTATCCAGTATTGTCAACATCTGAAACTTAATAAACTGATTTAATTTCGGTGTTCCTATTTTCGTCTTGCAACTGCCACAACTTATACTGAAAACGGAGATAAAATAGCAATGTGTGATGGGAACCTAGACGAGATCAACAGTAGAGAAAATCATCAGTTGCCCGAGAGAACAACTAAATGATACTTTGAAATAAATCGAGTTTAATCGATATTTACTTGTTTCATGTTTTTCCTCAATGTCGATGTGATGAGAGCAGTGAACATTTTAAACGTAATGCTCAAAACTTTGTGGGGGGAAATACCTGTCAAGGGACTGCTTGACATTTCCACAACTCGTAAAAGGCAAATATTGAAGTCTTTAATGCGACTGTTCAAGTAACTGGTCGATGAAATATATTTATGAAATACTCTAATGGAATTTATATAAATTAAGTGAAAGTTATTTAAAATATTATTTACGTGGAATACGAAATAATTTTCCTGCAGTGTTTCAGAATGTAAGCAAGTATTATTAAATACTTGCTAGAACAGCACTAAAAGGGTAAGAGTGAAAGGAATGAAAATAAAAGAACAAAAATTAAAAAAAGCAGACCTGGGAGAGGTTCCTTATTGAAATGGATGTCGAGGGAATGAGTGCCGCGGGTATGAGGGATGAATGAGGCCTGGAACTTCTGACCCCCAAGCGGGGTGACGTAAGATGTCACGTGGCCACCGTTCACCAGGATCTCCAGGTTTCCCGCCCCGGCCGCCTCTCCGTCGACTGCCATCATTCATATCGACCAGAACTTTAGTAATCATTTCATATCCCAGTCGTAAAAGTCAACAATAAGAAATGTGTGACTCACTGATAAATTCGACAGGTTCCCCGATTACTCCGGCAGGGATCCGTCCCACCTTCAGCTTCCTCGTGTCGTATGCGTAGGCATGGAAAGGACTCCCTGTAAAAAAATATTCATACATGAATCAGAGACATAAACACAAACGTACTTTTAAAGAAATGCAAGCGACAATAAAAAAGATTTCGATCTGCCATGAAGAAATGGAGTTCAGGAAACACGGCGTAAATTAAGGTGCCGAGTGCGAATGTCATCACCTTCTGACGCTCCTTTCCAACTTCCATATTAATTTCTGATCTTGGGGCTTGATGAGAGAGAAAATTAAATATGAAGTGTAACCAATGAAAAAAAAAACATGGTACGCAAATATCTAGAATGTGAATTCTACAAAAAACGCCTCCCAAAACGCGCGACGTACTCTGAGCATAAATAGCTATTTGTTCTTCAGGTGCAGATGTGTTTCCATGGCAAATTCCTTCTTTCCTTCGCATTTCTTTTTTTTTCACTTTCATCAAGCACTCATATCAAGAAAATAATCTGGAAAGGAGTGCCAAACAGTAATGCCTTTCTCACTCCGAATTTACAGGAGATTAACTCGGATAATGCATTATACTTTTTAAAATTCTTTCTTTCATATCTGGTTAGAAACTTTTGATTGCCCTTAGCATATACTGTATATTTGAATAAATAATTGAAGCAAAAACGGACATTGAACAGGTTCTTCACGGAAAAGAATGAATACGGCTGAATGAATGGTAGAGTTACCTTTGAACTTCTGTCCGGCAATATCGACGTGGATGAGATGTTCTCCGACCTCCCTAGGAGTGTAGGAAATGGAAATCCCGGACTCTGCCTCCGTCACCCGGAATGGTAAGAGAAGTCCAGAAGGATCTGTCAAAAGTCGATGCATCCATTCAGTCATCCATCAATAATTTCCTACATTTAACAGCTTTTTCGACAGCATGGAGTTCCACTGCTTCCTTGTTAAATTTGATCGGATGTGGAATTTCACGTCCCCTCGAATCCCTGATTCTGAAGATTAGTTTTTTTGCTATTGTTATTCATTATTCGCACCAGATTGAGGCTGCGATGAAGCACGGAACCAATACAAAATTGAAGAATACATTCCACCTACACTTCTAACCCTCGACGCCGTGGTCCACTAATAGATTTCATATCATCCATATAAATCCCAGGAACAGCACTAGAAACAAAAAGTGGACTGAAAGAAACATGGGTCTCCCAAATGCACACCAGCACCACATTAACTCGCAACTACTGTATAGTAGATAGGTACTTTTGTCACTGGTTCTACTTGCGAGCACAACACTATAGCCACATGAAAATTCTTCCAGTTACCAATTTGCAATTGACGTCACCATGTCTGTAGAGAGCCGGTAGTCGCATAATCAAAGGACCAAGTGAGATTTGGATTAGATCTGATCCGACGAACCATGGAATGAATGCGCGATGAGCCAACCTATCGCACGTTTTCGGATTACTTTTCCGCGCCGTAACCTTTAATCCAAGACCCATGCGGCATACGGCAGAATTAACGTCTTTCTTTGAAATATATACGAGGGGCACTAAACAAATTCGCTACGAAATGAAATAGCAGACAAGCACATAAGGGCAGGTAACACCAGGATTTATTTTCTCACATAATCCCCTTGTACAGGGTGTTTCACTCGCTATTGGCCCCAAATTTTTCCTCATAACTTTCAAACTAATTGACGTAATGTAGTGAAATGTGACACAGGCATGCCTGCGCGAAGTGAAGGCCTGTTTCCTGTTTGCCGCTGTAGTCAGTACGGATGGTGCGACGATTCTGACAGTGGTGTTGTGTACTGTATCGTCCACATTCATCGTGCCTGTGTGTTACGTGAAATCCTGTACAGTATGAACCGGTACACAGTTGAACAGTCAGTCACGATCGTCTATATACAGGGTGTTTCACTCGCTATTGGCCCCAAATTTTTCCTCATAACTTTCAAACTAATTGACGTAATGTAGTGAAATGTGACACAGACATGCCTGCGCGAAGTGAAGGCCTGTTTCCTGTTTGCCGCTGTAGTCAGTACGGATGGTGCGACGATTCTGACAGTGGTGTTGTGTTGTACTGTATCGTCCACATTCATCGTGCCTGTGTGTTACGTGAAATCCTGTAGAGTATGAACCGGTACACAGTTGAACAGCGCGTGTTTATTGTCCGCACGTACTGGAAAACTGCGTCGATAAAGGCACGCCAAAGACAATTTATTGAGCAGTTTGGGGGTTGAAAACCACCGGCAAAATTCGCCATTCAGTATCTGGTGAAGAAACTGGAACATTGTTGGATGTCCACGAAAGAGGCCGTCCGAAAATGCGCCGTGGACCTGGTGAACGCCCTGGCCGAGAAGTTCAACTTCACCTACGACTTCGTAGTCGCTTCGGACGGGGGTGGAGGGCTGTCCAACATTAATGGCTCTACGAACGGCTTGATCGGGTTGGTCCAGCGGTCCGAAGTGGACTTCGGAGTCTCGGGAATCCTGGTCAATCGCCTTCGGTATCAGTTCGTCAGGTACTCCACGCCGTACCTGGTCGACCGGGTGCTGATGATCGTCAACAAGCCCCCGAAGCTGTCGCCGTCCTCGCAGCTCTTCTCCACTCTTTCCTGGAGCCTCATCGTCGCCTGGGCTAGTTTGATCATCGGCTTCACCGTCGTTGTCACGGGCATCAGGCGCGTCTTGTCCCCTCCGGATTCACACATTGAAGCGCCTTGGATCACCGTTTTCAGGGTGGTCACTTACGAATCGGCACCCGATAGAGTTTACCTCCCATTTGGTTCTTACCGCATATCTTTCGGGTTCCTCTGGATCGCCATGGTCATCTTCTACGTCATCTACCAGGCCTCTCTCCAATCCATGCTGAACGTGACGGAATATGCACCCCCCGCGAACACCATCAAGGACTTCGAGCACCAGGATATTAAATGGCTCGTGAACCCTGGCAATGTCGCTGACCTCTATTACGAGAGCAACCCTTACATGCAGTCCGCCAAAGTCCGCTTCGACAATAAAACCAGAGCTTTTGATATCATGATGAGTAACCCTAACGTATACGGGACGATAAGCACCACGATCACCTTAGAGACTAATCTCAGCAACTACCTCCAGGCAGACGGGACTCAGCCTTTCCGACCGCTGCGAGAGACCGTCGACATGTACATCCTGGCCATCCCGTTCCCGAAGACGACACTGCTACAAGAGCCATTCGATCGGGTCATCCGCCGACTCGTGGACATGGGCATCGTCAGGCATTGGGTAAACATGGTGCAATTTCGGATCCGACTCCGTCGCGCCAAGGACATCGTCACCAGAAATGGAAGCTATCCGGATGGGCGGCGAGTGGAGACGCTGGAGCCGTTGGAGGTACCGCATCTGGTAGGGGCCTTTTATTTCCTTGCGGCCGGGGAGGTGATGGGCATCATCGTGTTTCTCTTGGAGGTCTTCATATGGAAAGACCGCAGCTGTTGGCTGCTGGGGTGAACGTGGATGAGGAATCGCATGAGCCTCGAATTTTCCGCGTTTTTTTCGTTTGTCCGAAGGGTGGAGAATGGTTTCTTGCGTACTTCGCACCGAAACTCCGTCCACGTCTCAATTTTTCAGCTACCGTAGTTAGTTGCGTTTGATGTTTTCTGTATCTGAACGGCGAAGGAATTTCATCTTAATGTTGTGCATTCGAATATCTGGGATCATTGGCTCAATGATGGATGATAGCAATATTTTGTGTTTTAAGATATTTTGGTGAACACCAGAAGGATGATCCTTTGTATATATTTTTTCAGGTTTCAACGCACCACATTCTTTTAAAATGAAAATTTGCGCTGCTGGATTTTAAATCCTCTAATTTTGTGATTTGAAAATCAGATCCCTAAGATGGACTTCATACGTGGGGAGGTCGGAAAGTTCGCGGATTTTCACATTTTTCGGGGCCATTGAGTGATGAGTGATTGTGGCCCATTCAATTGATATCTCTTGAGCCCTTTCAACATTTTTTTAGAATTGTTAATATTCAAGCATGCCTGGATGCTAATGGCGGACACTTTCAACACTTTCTATGATGTCATCATGCTTCCCATACATCAAGGTATGTCTGTGTCACATTTCACTACATTACGTCAATTAGTTTGAAAGTTATAAGGAAAAATTTGGGGCCAATAGCGAGTGAAACACCCTGTACATTAAGACACTTGTACCTGTGTCCAAGCATGCGTGTGCCGGTGGCATAGGACGATGTGGCCTTGCACCAAAGTCATTCAGGTACGACTAATTGCACGTCTGGGACGTGTCCAGTGTGACCCTTGAGCAATTTCTGGAGCCAGGCACCACAGCAAAGCAGTATGCTGCTCTACTCCAACGTTTGCTAGACGTAATCCGCAGGTAACTCCCATGATTGATACATGGAGGGGTGATCCTCCTGGATAAAAATGCGAGGTTACACACGACATAGAGGACGATGCAGCGATCAACACTCTGAGGCTGAACGGTACTTCCACGTCCACCATACAGCCTGGATATGACACCTAGCGACTATCATCAGTGGCGTGTTGAGGCGTGCAGTTTGACCAGTTTGGAAGAGAAAAACGTGGCGTGGACCAATGATCATAGGTGCGCACCGCATTCTGTATTGATTTGATTTTGCTTCCATTTCCATCCGACTTTCCGTCCTTTAAATCACGTCGACTGAACTTAGCAAATGAAATAAGTTGGTCTTTTGTTTTCATACACCGTTGAGAAACATCTGCATGACCTGTGTCACAGACCACCACACACCACTGATTTCTTCCGACCCCTCAAGAAAACTCTCGGCCGGCATTTCACGTTTGAAGAGGTGTAATTAGCTGGACGTGAATGACTTCGGTGCCGGGCTACATTGTTCCATGGCACTGGCATACGCAAGCTTGTACAGTATACTGGTAAGTCCAAGTGTTTCAATGTATAGGAGGAATATATGGAAAAATAAATCCCAAGGATTGGTACTTATCTTCTAGTGCTTCTCTGAAATTTCATTTCGTGACTCATTTTTTGAGTGCCCTCGTACATGTTGCATGTACGAGGGCATTCAAAAAGTTGCATGTAGTACTGAAAAGGTAAAGTGGCTTCACCACCACACTGTTCAAAAGTTTCCTCTCCTTTGTTGCCATAAAGCCTGTTTTTCATGGCTGCGTTCTTGTTATAGAATTCTTGATTGCGCAATGTCTTCAGGTCACAGGTGAGGAAGGAAGGCCGCAATGTGATACTGTATTTTGAACAGGACTAGAGAAAAAGAGAAATCAAGTTTCTCAATCAAATCACGGACTGTGTAGTCTCATCCCTCCCTAGCCCTTCTTTGTCAACTGCGACATGATGACAATGCAGTCACGAACACTGCAATAATGATGGATCCATAAAAATGCCTTTTTGGCGATGACTGAGAGACATAAAGCGTTGCCGAAACCAATGCAGCCGATACGTGGAAAAGCAAAATTTTATTGAGTTGCACCGATCTTTGCTCCTTTTTTATTATAAAAAAAACCTAGAGACTACCTTCTTAAGACACTTCTTAATAAACGACTCTGAACAGGCAAAGATTTTTCTAATGTCGGGACACTGAAACTTCAGAAGCACATTAAAACCACAGTGTAAGAACTGAAGCTTGCAGGTCCACAGCGTCTGATTAATTCTTGCTGCTGGTTCTTTCAAGCAGCGTATGCCAGACTCGTCGATCTAAAGCTGTTCATCACCGACGAGGCCTGGTTCCATTTGAGGGGGTATGTAAATTCCCAGAATAACCGTTACCTGCTGCGAATTCGCGACAGTTACGGGAAGCACCTTTGCATGACGAGAAAGAGGGATTTTCGGCGAACTGTCAGACCACCGTTCTTCAATT